AAAACCATGACTCATAAGTGACTTAGTAGCCTTGGCCGAGTAGCTCTCAAAAGTGAAAGGCTTGAATAGTCCTATGACAAGGACAAATCCCACTAAACAATCACTGATTTCATGTCAAAGGTATTAGAAAGATATAAGGTTGGCATTGATCATGCATATTATTATATGGCCACATGATTGTTATTTTTTTAGTCTTGTACATTTTATAAAGGGCACATGGTTGTTAGTGTTGTGACCCTTATATGCTAAATAATTTGATATCACATGATTATTAGTCTTGTGACTCTATGAATTTGGTGGTTTAATATGTGAATATGTTTCGTTTAAATATGACATTTGCATTACTATGATTAATTAACATGTGTTTGTATAGGCTAGATTAACTTTAGTTATTAAGTAGTTGTACTTACTTCTTTCTCTTTAATATTATAGGTACTAGCTCATTAGGACAAGATTAAGGGAAATAGTCAGAGGCTTAGGATTTCTATCCTAGATTTATAGGTCTCATTTATTTAAGAGTTGATGTATATAATTTATCTTAATAATGCCAACTATGAGATTGCATGTTTTTACTTACTTGCATTATTTGATTTATCTAAGTTGTGTATCTTGGGCCCTAGGTTGTATGTAAATTCAATGTAAAATTTAAATATGGCCAAAATACTTGTGCAAGTAAAGAGTAAGTATATTTGTGAATGATGATGATTTAGATATAGAATTACATGATTAAGAGTCTCTTGTCATTTTTTAGATTAAGGGATTGGGCATTAAAAATGTGTTGTGCATGTTATTGGAGTATTGTGGTGTGTTGCACAGATCTTATTGAGTCTATTAAGGGTGATCTATGAGTGGTTGTGAGCTTATGACATATGGTTGTGATTTTGGACACCCAAGTTATGTTTTGAAAACAAAAATGAGTAATTTTTTATTTTAGTGTCCAACTTTTGATTAATAAATGATTTGAATGCAAACTAGTACCATTAGCTAGAGCTTGAAGAAAACTTTCTGTAAACACCTAGATCTCCCCAATCAGATATCAAACAAAGAAATGGGCATGTTGGAAATTTGGCCAGAAAATCTGCCATGATAGCATGTGGGTTATGCATTTTAAGTCGTAATGTAAAATTTTATGCCATGGCATATTTTTCTAAAATCATTATTTTTGCTTTTTTGACCCAAATTTGATGTTATCTTATCTTGTATGATGTGCATGCTTTTATATACAAGTTTTTTTTTTAATTTTAGTTTATGAAATGATTTTATAACATTTTAAGTTTTGAAAACTTGAGATCCTATTTATGTAAAATTTTCAAACTTGGTAATTCATTTTAGTTAGTCTTGTGATTACCTCAATTGTGGAGTTAATTGTAGATTAGTAAGGGAAACTTTATAGATTCATTTCTTGGTGTGTAAGTTATTTTATTCGCACTACAACCTCTATGGAGCATGACCTTGTACTTATAGTTGGTTCCCTAATTTGTGCTGCTTTGTGATATTTGAATTTTTTTATTAATGCATTTTTTATTCTTTTCCTTAAAAATGGTAAAGTTAGAGATTGCTCAACCCATCTCCATTACATTAAATGGTTGCAATTACTATCTTTGGTTGGAAAAATATGATTTTCCTTAGTCTCCTTCAAGATCCTTCCCTGTTGCACTTGAGGTTTATTCTACTTTAGAATTCTTTCTGATTGAACTTGAATCTTTATTGAGCACACTTATCTCCTGTTTCTCTAGTCCATCTACTACCTTTTTCTACTTCAAATGGTAAATTTACTTGATATTTTGACTCTGCTAGTTGCAATCATATGATAGGTTAGGAAAATTTCTTCTCCTCTATGACATCTAACTCTACTAGCTATCCTGTACACATTGTTAATAATTCTCAAATTTTTGTTAGTCAAATTGGTACTGTCTCCTTGCCTTCCTTATCTATTCATAATATATATTTTGTTACTATCATTAGTTTCACCTTTTCTCTGTTAAACAACTTGCTAATATAGGTTATGATGTATTATTTAGCAAAGGTGGCTGTGTTGTGAGGGATTCTCAAGTAGGACAGGTTATTAGGACCAGGCATAAAGTTGGTCATATGTTTGAGCTCCCCTTGATGCACCTAGCTAAGGTCACTACTCTCACATTGTGTGCTACCTTTACATCCTCTTCTCCTAATTTCTCTATTGACTTATGGCATCGTCCTATTACTCACCCTTCTTTTAATAAATTGTGGGCTTTAATTTCTAGTAGTCTTTTAGGTCATGTTCATATTCAGTCTTTACAATGTATTTTTTGTCAAATTGCTAAACAACTCACTTTGTCTTTTCACAAAATTAATTCCATTACTATTTCTCCATTTGATTTGATTATTTATGATATTTAGGGTCTTGCACCTACTCCCTCTATAGGGGATCCTGATACTTTGTGATTTTTGTTGTTAACTTTTCTCATTTTACCTGGATCTATATCATGAAATATCTATTTGAGTTACCTAAACCTTATATCTAATTTGCTACTATGATTCACATTTAATATTCTAAAGTCATCCAAATTTTTTGTCATAATAATGCTTTGAAATATCGTGATTCTAAATTACTTAACTTTCTTAATTCTCAAGGCATTATTTCTTAGTATTCTTGACCATACACTTCTCAACAAAATGGTTGTGCTGAGCTTAAATACTATCATATTCTTGACTTTGTTAGAACATTACTCATTTCTTCTTCTTGTCTTGAACATTTTTAGGTGAATAAACTTTAAACTCTATCTTTTGCATCAATCATCTCTTGTCTCCTATCATTGATAACATTTCTCCTTTTGAGCGTCTCTATGGTTAACATCCTTATTATAGTCTTTTAAAAGTCTTTGCTTGTGCCTATGTTGTTCTTCTATCTCATGAGACAAAGAAAATTCAAGGTTATCATTGTTGTTTCCTTGGTTATGATTTTAAGCATAAAGTTATCATTGTTGTTTCCTTGGTTATGATTTTAAGCATAAAGTTATCATTGTTGGGATCCTTTCTCTTATCATATTCGCATTTCTCAGCATGTTTTCTTTTGAGAAATATCAAGTTTTCATCTTTGATCAATCTTTCGTTGCTCTCCTCATCTTTTTCACCTTCCATTTTTATATATATTTTTGCTGATCTTTTGCCTGATTATTCAGGTACAGACTCTTTTATTAAGCTCATTTCCATAACTGATACTGTGCCTACTCTAGATATGCCTATTATCACACCTATTACTCCTCTAGCACTAGTAATGATTACTGAGTCTATATCGTCCATAGACTCTCCGCCCAATCGTGTAAAAATCCTCCCTTTTTACCTTAATAATTACAATTATTTTTCCACCACTCTCTAGTTTTAGGAACACAAATCCTTTAAGGAAACATCTCATAATCCCTTTGGCAGCAAGTTATGGATGAGGAATTGCTAGCCCTAGAGAAAATAATACTTAAGATCTTGTTAATCTTCCTTTTGGTAAAACTTAGGTTAGGTGCCGATGGGTCCACAAGAATAAGACTAATTTTGATGGCTCTTTGAAGCAACATAAGGCCTGCTTGGTGGCCTAAGGATTATGAGGAAACTTTTGCACCTGTTGCTCGTACCTTCTAGCCATTATTGTTGTTAAGCACTGGCCTCTTCATCATATGGATTTTAAAAATGCATTTCTAAATCAAGATTTAGAAGAAGAAGTGTATATGAAGCCTCTACTTGGCTATCAACATCCGAAAGGCAAGGTCTATCATCTTCATCAAGCTTTACATAGGCTCAAACAAGTTCCTCTTGCATAGTTTGCTAAGTTTAGTAATATTACGCGTCAACTGGATTCACTTGTAATCCTCATAACTCGGCTCATTTTGTTCACTTTACTGCTAATTACGATATTGTTCTATTGCTATTGTATGTTGATGACATGATGATCAGGAGGAAAAGTTCAAGAAATCAAGACATATTAGGGCCAGCAATTTAAAATGAAGGATCCTGGCAAATTGAACTATTTTATTGGGCTTAAGGTCTATCATGGGGGTAATGGTATATATATCTCTCTCTCAAGTCAAGTATGCCATTGATTTGATATCTCAAGCTCACCTTTCTGATGAGAAGGTTGAAATCTATTGAACTGAATGTTTACTATACGTCTACTAAGAGTATCTTGTTGGATAATCCCACCCATTATTGCCAGCTAGTTAGGGCTTATCTATCTTGTTGTCACCTATCTTAACATTGCTTATGTAGTCCACATTGTCAACTAGTTTATGTTAGAGCCTTGCACAACTCATTATGCACGGTTCTTTAGATCATTTGGTGGTATTTTGTATCATGGGCTTCATTTCTATGCTAGCTTCTCTCTTGCACTACGAGCTTACTCTGCTGCTAATTGGAGTGGTGATCATGATGATCAACAATCTACGACTAGTTTCTATATCTTCTTCGGTCATTCTCTTATCTATGAGAGAAGTAAAAAGTAAATATTAGCCTCTCTCTCCAGTGATGAATCAAAATGCCATGCATTAGCAAACACTATTTTTGAGGTACTTTGTTAGTTGGTGAGTTGGGAGAATCTTAGAACTCTTCCACACACATTTATTGGGATAATCAAGTTGTAAACAAGATTGCTAATAATTATGTGTTTCATGAGTAAACCAAATACATTGAGATTGATTGCAACTTTACTTGACAGCATGTTGTTCAAGGCACCATCTGACTTGTTCTAATTTAAACCAAATATCAACCGACAGACTTATTTATAAAGTCTTTTCATCTAAGCAACTTTCAGTTTCTGATAAACAAACTCAAGTTGCTCTCTATTAAGTTATCTTGAGTTTGAGGGAGTATGTTATCTAGAATATTTTAAAAATATATTACTATTTATTATGCCATTATTGAAATATATTATTTGATAAATATTGTTGTAAATAATCATTATTAGGCTGTCTCTTTCTCGTTGTATATATTGTACTTATCACAATAGCAATAGACATGACATTTTCCAATATTCCCTAGTCTCTCTTATCTCTAATAGCTTTTATTATCCCTGATAGCATTTCAATGCTCAGCTCCACAAATGTTTTCATTGATTCAGGCGCTCGATCCTGCACAAAAGTCTTCATTTCATGTTCATTAAATCCTTCCATTAGCCTTAGTAGGAAATATTGTGGAGTTAAAACCACGATGTTTAGGGAAATAATTTTCTTATCTGGCTGTTCTCTAGACAAGGACAGCCGATGCCATTCCACTAGCCAAGCCGCAATACAGCAAAGTACTGAACACAACATCCCGACAGTTGTGCTCCAAATTGGTTTCACCTTTTCTCTTATCCTTGGTGATTGGATTATATTTCTAACCACATAAGCAATAACAAACTTAAGTGCAAAGAAATCCACCAGAGCAAGGTGAGAATTTGCAGAACAAAGTGTTACCAGAAGCAGGAACCAAGGTGTAGGCGAAGAAGGTGAGCCCAGGGGTAAACTGAAATCAAGGCTCTTCACGTCACTCACTTGCTCTGCCGTACAAACCTCTTCTTCGTTCCCTTCTCTCTCTCCCCTTTCACCATTGGAATTGTTCTTTACAGCGGCCTTATCCAAGACGAGAAAAATGATGGGTGACGACTGGCGACGCAACAAGAGAACCTTATTATCATCTTCTCTTTGACAAAAAGGGCTCTTCTGAATAACCCGCTTTTGAAGAAGGGCATGGCAACCTACGTTTCTTAATAGCTTCCTTAAAGACCCTATAAATGGTAGTGAGAGGACTTCCTGGTGGCCTGTCTTCAGGGTAGTAGCAGAAAATCCCAGAGAAGAAAAATAAATACGTAGTCAATGGTCCAATTTCCGTTTTCATGGATTCCAACTCATCTATATATATATATATATATATTTTGTTATTTTTATGCCAAACGCAACAAGTACTATCGCGAAAATCACCACACCAAGGTTAAAAGTTGACGAGGCGCAAACCCATAGCAGCATCAATCCCTGCAATCAAGAATATACACAATTTTTATTTGATCAGTAAAGTTTGCATTTCTCGTTTCAGAAATTTTGATGTTTAAACTTGACGCGTGACGACAAATCCCTTAAATTTTTGAATTTATACACTCTTTTGACGTCGTTCATTTGTAAATTATTATGTTCTTTTCTTTTTTTTTTTGTCATGGTAAATTATTATATTCTTCTAATGAAATAATGCGTATTTTATATAAAAAAAATGTATGCTTATGGGCATATGATGTGATGGTTATAATGGGAACTAGGTTTCGGAAACATCCGATAAAATACAATGGGAACTACGATCTCATACTAGCGAGGGGCGATATTTTTGTAATGTATAAACATATATATGTAAATAGTTAAATAAAATGTACTCCCTTCGTTTAAAAATATAAGGTATTTTTTAACTGAATCTCATCATCTAATAAAGTAGTTACGTATTTTCTAGCTAACCCTCTTTTTTCATATGTACCCCTATTAAACACCTTATAATAAATATAAAGTCACTATCAATAAGAAATTTTTTAAAAAAAAGACAATAATTATACCTCAAAAGATTAAAAATGTCTTATATTTTTGAACATCTAATTTCTCAAAAAATATTTTACATTTTTTAATGGAGGGAGTACTTCATTTAGATAATATATCAATATGGATTCAGATTCCCTCTTATGAGGAACCCTCCTTGTGTCTCTGTTGAGAGATGGTGAAGTTTGAATTCTCCAAATTTAATATAGATATTTCAATTTAAATTTTTAATTTTTAGTTTTATATTTATTAAAATAAAAATTATAGAAATTTTAATAAATCTACTTAATCACCAACCTAGATAGTTTAAATTTAATTTAAAAGGTTCAAATTTAATATTAAAATATTTTATAATTTATAAAAATTATAAAAAGATTAATTTTAAATAGTTACTGTCTAACATATATCTGGATAGTTAATTTATAAAAAATATAAAAAAATTAATATTAAATCTTCATTATCCAAAATATATCTGGATAGTCAATTTTAAAAATATAAAAGTTTAATATTGAATTGAACCATTCAAATTAGTGACAAAAATATTTATTAAAATTTTTAATAATATTTATAAATTTTTATTTTATAAAAATTATTCAGATAATTTTAAATAAAATCTGAACTATCTATTTTAATAATCAAACATATTTTTAAAACATTTTTATAATTTTATTTTAATAAGTATAAAATAAAAAAATTTAAAATAATCTAAATTAAAATTTGAAAAGCATAGATTCTACTGTCCCTTGTCTGAGGGATAGAGGAGGATTCCCTCAAAGGAGGAAATCCAAATCTAAACAACTGAACCCCTTTTTTCTCTCTCTACAGTGCCTCTTGTTGAATATTATAAAATATTTTTTAAGTATTTTAGAAGGAATTGTTATAAATTAATATTATTTAATTCTATTTATTATTTTATAACATATAATTTAAATAACATTATTATTTGAAACCATTTTTTAATTGTGATTAAGGTGGTTTTATTGCCCAGCATTATGGGACCTACTTATAAAAGACAATGCTTGCCATAATTTCAAAGAAAGCTTTGGCACTCTTGACCTTTCTCTCCTCTTCTATCATACTAATTCATTGTGTCATTGTCTGAGTATGTTATGTGAATTTCTGGTGTTCTGTGTCTTTACTTTTAGTAAGAAAAGTCTGTTTAATCCTGAGGAGCTACTGTGCGATCAACATGCACTACTACAGAATATATCTTTAGGAGCGGGTATTTAGGAGCGCTTCTTTAAAAAGCGCTCTAAAATGTAAATGCGGAATTTACGGAGCGCTTTTTTAGAAAAGCGCTCCTGTATGTCAAGGCTTTTCAATAAGATAATGTTCCTAATTAATATAAATAGAATATTATAAAAAAATTTAAAAAGACCTTCGAGAGCGCTCGTAGTTAAGCGCTCCGGAAGATCAACTCTTTCGGAGCGCTCTTGGAATGAGCGCTCCGAAAGAGCTCATCTTTCGGAGCGCTCTTTTAACGAGTGCTCCGAAAGAGTTGTTCTTCCAGAGCGCTCGTCAAAGAGCGCTTCGAAAGAGAGATCTTCCGGAGTGCTCTTTGAAGAGCGCTCCGGAAGAGGTGGTCTTTTATATCTCTGCCTCCCGTCAGTTTTCTTTTCCCTATTCATGAGTTTCTTTCAAACCTCTCTCTCATTTGCTGAGGTTGTGCGTTCCCAACAAGTTCCAGATCATCGCTGTATCAGTCTATCTTCCGTCGCTGTTCACTGTTCCAGATCGTCGTCCGCCGCTGTTCGCTGTTCCAGATCATCGTTCGCCACTGTTCGTTGTTCCAAATCATCGTTCGCTGCTGTTCGTTGTTCCAGATTAGTGTTCATCACTGTTTGTTCATTTCTGTGTCATGTCACACCATCTGTCTCTGTTTTTACGCTGCCGTCGCCGTCACCGCCATCTCCTGCATCACTATTCTAGATCTACATTGCTGTTCCAGATTTGTGCAGCTGCTGTACACCGGAGGAAGCGACACCGTGAAGACCTCCGTTGTAGCCGTGTGTCATTGCTGTACAGCCGAGGAAGCAACGCTGCAAAGACCTCCGCTACTGCCGTGAAGACTTCCATTTTCTGCCGTGAAGACTACACTGTAAAGGTATTTTTTTAATAATTAATTTATAATGTAATATATTGATATATTTATATATATTTGAGAATAAATTTCATATATATTTTTTTGATAATCAATATTATAGATAATATATGAATTGGAGTTATTTATATTAGAATTATGGAGTATTTGTAGTTGATAATTAGATTAAAGTTGAGGAAACTACTTGAACATTTTTATTTTATTTATGAAATATACTTTTAAGGGAGATTATTGTTATTAATTAAATTACAATTGATTGACAGAATTTAGATGCATTATGCTACTAAATTTTTATTTGGATGAATTAATTTTTTGAGTTTAAATGTATTATGTTGTGGAATTTGATTGTTTGATCATTTGGGAGGTTCTTCTTTTAAGGAAGATGTTGTTGAATTTTTTTTATAGAAATCTAAGTCTTTTGTTTATTGAATTTTGATAATCATATTAGTGATATGGATCATAAGTGGATATCGGCTAATCAACTATCTAGAGAATATTGGGATGGTGTGGATGAATTCATTGAATTTGCATTTTGTTGTGATCAAGACCCCCTTGGAGTCATATGTCCTTGTTTGAAATGTTGCTATGGAAAAAGAGTAAAGCCAATAGAATTGAAAGATCATTTAATCTGTAATGGGATTGATCCAACTTATACTTGTTGGACCATGCATGGGGAGACAAGGAATGATGCAAATGATTGGAGGGATAGTGCGAGCTACTCAACATTTGATCGTGATAGTGGGACATATGATGTTGACCGTCTTGATGAAATGATTCATATATATAACTTCATCGCTGAAGTATTTTAAATTAAATTAGAATTTATTTCCACCATATTTTGATAATGACATCTTTTATTGTTTTATAGGTACCTATACAATTACAAGGTTAGGAGTGTGGATACTATGTTATGAAGTTTATGAGAGAAGTAATCACACAACAAGAGTTGATCATTCCTGAAAATGTAAGTCAAAAACTTTAAAATTAAGTTGATATAATGTTAATTACTTATATATTGCTTTCATATCTTGTGTAGTATTTTGTTGGAGTAAGATGTTCGTATTTTACTATGGAGCAAATAGAAGATTTAGTTGAAGAGTTGTCAGAATATATTATTGGCTGTTTGTGATAGGAAGTTAGATTTCAATGTTAGAAAAATAACAATAGTTTCATTTGTTAGACTTATTAGAAATTAAACTAAGTTAGTTAGGAAATTGAAATTTTTGTATCAGTTTCAAATTCTTTTCTTGTATATAAATTTTTATGTTAATATTATTTTTAAATTAGTTTTTGATATTATGATTTGTCATTATTAAAGAGACGTAAAAGGAGAAATTTCAAAAATCTGATTTAAAAAAAATTAAAGTAATATACGGGAGCGCTCATTTGAAAAGCGCTCCTGTAAAGTAACATACAGGAGCGCTCTTCTAGAGAGCGCTCCTATATGGTTCATACGGGAGCGCTCTTTATAAAAGCGCTCCAGTATGGTTGCATACGGGAGCGCTCTTGTAGAGAGCGCTCCCGTATGTAGCTCCCTTACAGGAGCGCTTTTCGAAAAGTGCTCCCGTATAGCGTATATACAGGAGCGCTTTTTTTAAGCGCTCCTCTATATTTCGTATCGAGCGCTTCCTAAAGTAAAAAAAAAAGCGCTCCTGTAAACTTATTTTGTAGTAGTGATGATATAGCGGAATAGCTCTTAAGGACAATATCCTTGGCCACCACTCAAACTATATTTTCACCTGTTAGTGTCAACACCTCTCAATCTCACTTTTCCCTCCTAATTCCTAGCCCTCATTGTACGTTTTAAATCTTAACCCTTCCTTTGGGAGGGAATTAAATGAAATTGCTCTAACTATTAACTAAAATGAAGGGTTAAGATTTGAAGTATTAAAGGATTGCGGAGAGAACAATAAACATCCCAAATCCGAGAAGATGAGGACGGTATATTCATGATTCAGCGTGTGTATGGCTTATAAATATCAAAGACATGATAGCTTACCATAGTATATGCTGCGGCGCAGGAGATAATGACAATGAATCGACCGGCTGGGCGAGATTCTGATATGTGTGTCACTCCTAGTTTGAAGACAGCTGATATCCCATTCGGAAAATTCATGACAGCAATTTAATATGATTAAAACGCAAGGAAAAAAGCTATGTGCAAGAGGGACGAGCTGGTGGTAGAATAGGGAAAGCAGAAGACAAGAAAGAACTAAGATTAAAACCATGATGCTTATTCCATCAAAACGTGCCCTGCCAATTGAATACCGTTAAACTTCTACTCGCTGCTCCCGCGAATTCTTCCTTCTGATCGTCTTGCTTCTTCCTACTTGTCGATTCACGTGACTCGCCGCTTCACCATTCTCTTGCTGACTAGGCTGAGCGTCTGAGCTGGTGCGAGATCTAATCATCACAACATGCAGAGCATCAAAAGAATGCATGCAAGAAGAATGTATGAGCAGCTAATTGCAAATTACAACTAGACAACTAAACTGATTAGCTGAACTAATTAACTCCGTCTTAATTAATATATATTCACCTGGACTCATTCGAACTCACTCGTCCTCCCAACAGACCCTTCGTTTGAAACTTGGCAAACCATGCATAAATGCAAGAGAACACGAAACTTTGTGATGCCAATATGAGAAAACACCAATCCAGGCGGATCCGGCTAACGAAAATTAATGCAAATAGTATGCTGACGACGATCCCGGACAGCATTACAAAGCCCGGATACACAAATTTTCTCGTTGATTTAGGCACCAACTGATTTCGAAGGAAACTCTCTAGTCCGAACTCTGCAAATCCTTCCATTAGTCCTAGCAGCAAATACTGTGGAGTTAAAACCCAGATGCTCAAGGGAAGACTTCCACGTTCCACTAGCCAAGCCCAAAAACAGCAAGGTGATGAACAAAACATCCCAACAGCCATGCTCCAAATTGGTTCCAACAGTTTTAGTCTTGACTGGATCAATCTAACTACAGAAGCAACTGAAGATTGGAGTACAAAGAAAACAATAACAGGAACATCCAATTCACCCACATTAAAATCCAACTTGCTTGTTTGCACAACAAAGTAAGTGTCGCCGCAAGTAAAAACCAAACTGTACGAGATGAAGATGAACCCCAAGACCGAGAGTACTTTGATAGGAGGACTTCGAACCGCTTCATTTCTTTCTCCCCTTTCATCATCGGAAATGTTCTTGCTAGCTTCCTCGCTCTTTGTACTTTCAAGGCTCTTCATGTCCCTCAATCGCTCCTCCGTGCGAACAGTTTCATTTCTTTCTCCCCTGCTTTCAGCATCGGAATTGTTCCCGCTAGCTTCCTCTCTCGGTGTAATAGAAAAGAATCCTAGGGAAGAATAACAAACACACAATTTCCATAACAAGAGGCGAAACTTTGAACCTTGTCAGCCAGCGGGTGTTGCCTAACCAAAAGATCGCTATAGCAGCGCCAGTGAAGGAAGCAGTCAAACGCCACAAAAATCCAGGGCGATATTTTTCTTCTTTGTCAGTTCCAGTACGTTTTTTATTTACTTTTTCCGTCGACAGTTGATCATAAAAAAATTCAGTAGTTGGTTCTTCCCCAGCTTTGCCTAACGCAATAAGTACTATTGCGAAAATCAACATGCCACGAATCCCTAGTAGCATCAACCCCTGCACATGCATTAAAAATACTTTTTTTATATGATCTTTCAGTATTCCTTCAACAAATAATTAATTAGTAATCTTAAGTAATGGATCGATCCTAATTAAAATGATTATGCTAGTATCTGTATTGATCATTCGTTGACCCCAAAACATGTAATTTACTTTGGATCAATGTCACTCTATCTCTTCTTAAATTAATTGTATTATTTATTGATCCACATGAGAACATAATTTTTTAATAAAATCTTCAAAAACATGTAATGCATGATAATTTTGTTTGGTATATGTTATTAAGAATGAGGAGAATAAATTTTTCTTTTTCATATTTAATTAAATGCATATAAAAATGAAAAACGTCTAAATGACCCTAGCTAAAATTTTGATTTCCCTCCCATCGGCAAGACAATTTCATAGTCGATCCAAGTAGCGCAAATCAAAACTATATATATTGCTGGTTCAATCAACTAGCACAACTTCAAAACAGATGAAACAAAGCACAAATCAAATTAAAGAAAAGTAATGGCACAGAAACCGAATGAACAACAAGCAATTCTTATTCTCTGAAGTCTCCCTCTTTCACAAGTCTCAAGGTCCTATTTATAGTCCTAGAATACGTGACACTGAACCATACAAATTTAAAGGGGAGTTACAGAAGTTAAGGGGCGGTTACAAAGAGTTTATGATGCTCATTATGTGTGCCTTCCGTTTTAGCTCGTTTCTTGCTCTTTCTGTTTCATTCTGCTCTTTCCGTTTCATCCTCCTCGAGTTAGGAAGAACTCGCCCTCGAGTCAAATTCATCATCTTCATCAACGTATGGAGATAAATCAGCGACATTGAAAGTTGCAGATACACCATAAGAACCAGGTAATTCCACCTTGTAAGCATTGTTGTTGATCCTTTGCACTATCTTGAACGGACCATCAGCTCTTGGAGACAACTTGGTGTTTGGCTGTTTAGGAAATCGTTCCTTTCGTAGATGTATCCAAACCAAATCTCCTACCTTAAAAGTCTGCTGTCTTCGATGCTTGTCACGTTGAGCTTTGTATCTCAAATTCTGCTTTTGGATTCGCTCGCGGACTTGCTTATGCAACTTCTTAATTTCCTTAGCCCTTTGGTCAGCATCAAAGTTGTATTGCTGCTTATCAATTGAAGGGCTCAAGTCTAGTGGACTAAGGGGACGAGTGCCATAAACAACTTCAAACGGACACTTCCCAGTTGCTTGATTGACAGAGTTATTATAAGCAAACTCAACTTGAGCAAGAATAAGATCCCACTGCTTCAAATTCTTCCCCACGAAACTGCGAAGAAGATTACCAAGAATTCTATTTATAGCTTCAGTTTGACCATCTGTCTGGGGATGACTAGCGCTGCTAAATTGGAGCTTAGTTCCCATCTTCTTCCATAGCGTCCGCTAAAAGTGGCTAAGAAACTTCACATCACGGTCAGAAGTGATAGTTTTAGGAACGCCATGAAGACGCACAATCTCCTTAAAGTACAAGTCTGCTACTTGAACAGCATCATTTGTCTTCTGGCATGGGATAAAATGGGCCATTTTTAAGAAACGATCCACAACTATCATGATAGAATCTTTTTGCCTTTGAGTCTGTGGTAAACCTGGAATAAAATCCATGGTTACATCTTCCCACGGTGCTTCTGGAATTGGCAGAGGCATGTATAATCCGGTATTCTGACCCTTGGATTTAGCCAAGTAACAAATTCTGCATCTTTGTATATGCCTGTTGACATCCCATTCAAGACGAGGCCAGTAAAATTTCTCCTTCACCAAATCAACTGTTTTATCCCTTCCAAAATGTCCAGCTAATCCACCGTCATGTGCTTCCCAAATTATGGCTTCTCTTAAGGAACCCTGTGGAATACAGAGGGTTTCACCTCGAAATAAAAAACCATCATGCCTGTAAAATTGGTGGAAAGGTTGATTTACAGTTGCTTCCCACACTCCTTAGAAATCAGGATCATCCTGATACAACTCTTTGATAAGGTCAAATCTAACAACCTTAGTTTGCAATGTTGTAAGTAGCACATGGCGACGACTAAGGGCATCAGCTACAGAGTTCAGAGTTCCAGCCTTATGTTTGATAAGGAATGGATAAGATTGTAAGAGTTCACTCCAACGAGTATGTCTGCGGCTGATCTTCTGCTGGGAATTCAAATACTTGAGAGCCTCATGATCCGAAAAAAGTATGAACTCTTTATTTAGGAGATAATGACTCCAATATTGAAGAGCTCGGACAATGATATAAAATTTCTTGTCATAAGTAGAATATCTGAGCTTGGCATCATTGAGCTTCTCACTAAAAAAGGCAATGGGATGGCCCTCCTGGCTTAAGACAGCACCAATGTCGGTGTTAGAAGCATCACAGCTAACTTCAAATACTTGGTTAAAATTAGGAAGAGCTAAGACTGGAGCTTCGGTCAACTTCTTCTTAAGCTCCTCAAAGCTTTTCTGAGCTTGCTCTGTCTACTGAAACTTCTCTCCTTTGGTGCAGTCTGTAAGTGGTGCGGCAATTGAGCTAAAATTACGGATGAACCTCCTATAGAAAGAAGCTAATCCGTGGAAGCTTCGAACCTCCTGGATAGATTTTGGAATTGGCCAGCTGTCAATGGCTGCAACTTTACTTGGATCAACGCGAACACCTTCCGCGGTAATGATGTAACCCAAGAACACAACTTCGTTGGTGAGGAAGGTGCACTTCTTGAGATTTGCATAAAGCTTCTGCTCACGCAAAGCTTGCAAAACTTGCCGCAAGTGATCTAAATGCTCCTCTTGATTCTTACTGTAAATAAGAATATCGTCAAAGTACACAACAACAAATTTACCAATGAAGGGTCTCAATACCTCATTCATCAGGCGCATAAATGTGCTAGGGGCATTTGTTAATCTAAAAGGCATCACATTCCACTCGTACAAGCCATCTCTGGTCTTGAAAGCGGTCTTCCACTCATCTCCTGGCTGAATTCTGATTTGATGGTACCCACTACGAAGGTCAATTTTGGAGAAAGTAGTGGCACCATGCAATTGGTCCAGCATATCATCAAGCCGAGGTATCGAAAACTGATACTTAATAGTGATCTTGTTGACGGCTCGACAGTCAATGCACATTCTCCAACTTCCATCCTTCTTAGGTACTAGAAGAACAGGTACAGCACAAGGGTTGATACTTTCTCGAACTAATCCTTTCTTCAACAACTCTTCAACTTGCCGTTGGACTTCGGCATATTCCTGGGGACTCATCCTATAAGCAGGCTTATTAGGAATGACTGCTCCTGGAACGAAGTCAATGGCATGCTGTATGTCTCGCATTGGAGGCAACCCTAGTGGTATCTCATCGGATATTACATCTGAAAATTCTGACAATAACGGAATGACTCCAGGTGGATTGGCCGTCTCATCGTTCACCTCAAGCACCAGAATAATGCTCATTATTTGGGCTTCGGATTTTGACACCTTGAATTCCTCCTTAGTCAACAAAGACACTAACGGCTTAGAAACACTAGATTCCCTTGAAGATTGGCTAATCTCATTGGGTGGTAGAGGCACTAGTGTAAACTTGACACCATCTTTCGTAAAAGAATAAGTGTTCGCTCGCCCGTTATGCATAGCATGTCGGTCATATTGCCATGGCCTCCCCAAGAGAAGGTGGCATGCATCCATGGGAACAACATCACATAAAACTTCATCACAATATCGATTCCCAATCGAAAAGGTCACAAGGCATTATTTAGAAACTTTTATCTCATTCCCTTTGTTGAGCCAGTGAAGCTTGTAAGGTTGTGGATGATCTTGTGTTGGCAACTTCAATTTCTCCACTATGTAGTTAGATACTACATTTTCACAGCTTCCACTGTCAATGATGACATTATAAACTTTTCCTTGGGCCGTGCAACGAGTGTGAAAAATGTTGCATCGTAACCAAGGTTCTTCTTTGACTACTGTTGTATGCAGACTTCGTCTAAGCACCAATGCTTCTCCTTGATTAGCAGTTGTGACCTCCTCGTCATATACGGGATCAGTGCCATAAAACTCATCGTCCTCCTCATCTTCTTCAAGTGCTTCATACCCTGATCCTTCTCGAATGGTGACAACCCTTCGTGTAGGACAGTCCGCAGCAATGTGGCCAAATCCTTGGCATTTAAAGCATTTGATTGCTTTAGAACCAGATTCCTTGGCAGCATTGGATGGTGGTTTGCACATAGCAGTAGGTTGTGGCTTGCTTGAGGAGTTGGTCTACTGAAATTTTGCTTTACGGCCTTCTGGATAACTCCTAGAAGATGAAGGTTGGAAAGTGGATCTCTTGAGCATCTGCTTCTCAACACGCATGGCCAGACGGATGACATCATCCAAAGTCCAATATTGTTGAAGCTGGACTGGACGACTGATATCTGTGTTTAAACCTGCAAGGTACCGGGCTATTGTTTGCTCCTCCTTCTCTTGAATATCATACTTCATCATGAGTTGTTCAAACTCTCTAGTATATTCTTCTACAGATAAAGATCTCTGTCGAAGATTTTGCAACTGGATAAAATTATCCTGGTGGTAATGATCTGGTAAAAATTTCCTGGTGAGCTGGCATTTCATTTTTTCCCAGGTTTCAATCTTGCGCTTTCCCTCACGTTCTCACTTCCGTCTGAGGTTTTCCCATAAATAGAAGCATGTTTCTTGAGTTTGAGTGTGACAATTTTGACTTTCTGCGCATCTGGAATCTCCTTGTATTCAAATACTCGTTCAACAGTTTGCAGCCAATCTACAAACTCGTCTGGCTGGAGCCTTCCCTCGAATTCAAGAATGTCAACCTTGATGTCATTAGGGCAGAATTGTTGTTGTCGTGGGCGGCGGCGATTTTCAATAGATGACGAACTACTGCTTCCCGAATCTCTCTCTAAGTTTTCTCTGTTGTTGTTTAACATGTCTACGTCTTGGAGGCATTTTGGATAAGTGTCAAGGCTAGGGATAAAGATTGGGGTGCGATTGGAAACATTAAGGATATAGGGGTAAAGTGAGATTTTTTCAAAGGCTAGGGGCAAAATGGAGATTTTGGACTGTCTAGGGGGTAAAAATAGCGATTCTAGAAGAATGATGGGTCAAATTGAAATTTATGAAAAATATAGGGGTTAAACTGGAATTCAGGTAAAATCAAGGGGCAAAAGTGTAATTTTAGGAAAGTTTAGGGGTTAAAATGGAATTTCTGAAAAATTTGGGGTCAATATGAAATTTCATAAAAAATAGGGGTAAATTTGGAATTACTGAAAGATTTGGGGCGAAAAATGTAATTTTTGAAAAGTTGGCTGACTGGGCACAGTGACGTGGCGACTGTGACACGTGGCAGAAAACTACTAGGCTGACCTGTCGTTGACCGGTCAAAACGATGACGTGGCAGCTGACGTCAGCGTCTTCACGGATGGCGCGTAAAGGCGCATGGACCGGCAGCGAGGGGCGTGGTCTTCCGACGGTGGCGCATGACGGCGCGTGCGGCTGTTTTCGGTGACGGGGAACCTCTTGTTCCACGTTTTCGGACCTCCTGAGCACGATGGTGATGTTAGTTTTCTGAGAAAATGCTTGGTTTGTAAAACGCGAAGACGTCAGGGACTCCTCCTCTAAATCTCTCTTCTTTCCGGCGTACTTTCTCAACTGTAACTCACTCTCTCGCTCTCTGGACCAACTCTGATACCAAAATGGCACAGAAACCGAATGAACAACAAGCAATTCTTATTCTCTGAAGTCTCCCTCTTTCACAAGTCTCAAGGTCCTATTTATAGTCCTAGAATACGTGAAACTGAACCATACAAATTTAAAGGGGAGTTACAGAAGTTAAGGGGCGGTTATAAAGAGTTTATGATGCTCATTATGTGTGCCTTCAGTTTTAGCTCGTTTCTTGCTCTTTCTGTTTCATTCTGCTCTTTCCGTTTCAAGTAATCAATGAAGTAGAAGAAAGGAAACCCATAACATATCGGAAACCGAGATTTAAAGAGCATAATCGAATCTCTGGCCAAAAAAAAAGAGCATAATCGAATGAAAAACTGCGTAATGGTGCAGCTAGAATCGACCAGAAATGGCCATTTTGGCTCGACGGATCTAGCCAGGCTTGAAATTCAAAGGCGTGGATGAGAAAATGGAAAGTTGGACACTCGAAAATGAAGGAGGACAAAGCTTGAAACTGAGACGAAAGCATTGGTGTGGAAGACGATGGCTATGGTTTCGCTCGTGGATGCGTTAGCAAGGTACGGTAGTCATGGTGGTTCTTGCGTTTCAAGGATTCGGGTTTATAATGACTCACGATGGAGGAGAAGAAAGGTGAAGAAGAAAGATGATGGCATCTGAGAAAGGCCGGGTGTAGCTTACCATGGCATATGCTGCGGCGCAGAAGATAATCACAG